TAAAATACTAAGATTTGTTTTAAAAGTAAAACAGAAGTCATGATTATGAAAAGTCGAAATTTACATACTAAATCAACTATGAGATAAATAGTCATAATTATGTCATAAACTCAAAATTATGAAATACTAAGTCAACTATGAGATAAATAGTAATAATGATGACATAAAGTTAAAAAATAGCATTCTAAGTCATAACTATGAGATCAAGAGTCATAATTATGACATAAACTCAAAATAGTCTTTATTTATAACATAACAATAAAAAAACCATGACATATGACAGCTCAAAATTATGAAATACTAAGTCATAATTATGACATGAAAAGTCAGAACTATGAGATAAATAGTCGTAATTATGACAAAAAGTTGATGTTAACTATGGTAGTGTACAACCTGTTTATTTTGACCTGTGGCACTTCTCATAACAGCCAGCAGAGGTCGCTCTTCAGACAGATCCCTCAGAGCTCAGTTTGAAGTGTCCTGTGTGTGTTTTATTGTCACTTGTTCAGTTATCAGAGGAAGCAGCTCTAGATGAGGCCAGCGGCTACAACATCCCACCAGAGCTCAGCGGCCCGATGAACAGAGAGAAGGACACGTCCAGAAGGAAACCGGTAACAGGCCTACACACGTGTGCGTCACACAAACACATGCTAAAGACAATGTCTTCTGAATTGTGCATTATTTATCCGTGTGTGTTTAAGCTCTCGGCGCCACGGTCTAAATCAAAGCCGGCAGCTGCTGTCTCACAGATCCGGCGCTTAGACGATGGAGATTGTGATGAAGATGAGGATGATGAAGAGCTGCCGTGGTGCTGCATCTGTAATCAGGACGCTGTCATTCGCTGCCACACGTGTGAGCGGGATCTGTACTGCGCCCGCTGCTTTAGGTACGATCAGTGACTTTCCCCTCATTTCTCATGCTGTTTTTAGTAGTGTTTACTGGGATGAGCATCACTAGTACTAGTACTCATACTCATCAAACCTCTAGCACTGAGTATTCATAAGAAACCTATTCTAGCATATGATTCTTTACATTTTCAGTTTACATTCTTTGCTCATGAGAAAAGAAAAGAAAAAGATAAGCTTTGGTAAATCATAATTATAAGTCAAAATGATGAAATATTAAGTCATAATTATGAGATAAAAGTCAAAATTATGAGACAAGTCATAATTATGACAAAAAGTCAACATTATAGAAATAATCATTCATAATTGTGAGATAAAAAGCCATAATTATGGGATTAAAAGACAAAATTCTGAAATAAAAAGTCGTAATTATGAGATAAAAAAGTCTAAATTATGAGACGAGTCATAATTATGACAAAGTCAGTTATAATTATGACACAGTCAATATTATAGAAATAATAATTCATAATTGTGAGATAAAAAGCCATAATTATGGGATTAAAAGACAAAATTCTGACATAAAAAGCCATAATTATGGGATTAAAAAATCTAAATTATGAGACGAGTTATAATTATGACAAAAAGTCAGTCATAATTATGATATAAAAAGTCAAAATTATGATGTACTAATTATTGTCATTGGTATGATATACATAACTATGAAATATAAAGTTGACGTAGGAAGTCTTACTAATTGACGCGCGTCTATTTTGAGAAAAAAAGTCATAATTATCAAAAAAAAGATTAATAAAAGTTGAAAAGTCATAATTATGACATCAAAAAACATTATTATATAATTAGTCATAACTATGATATAATGTCGAAATTGATATACTAAGCCATAACTATGAGATAAAAAGTCGTAATTATCCAAAACGTTATAATTATGACACGACAAGTTGAAAAGTCATAAATATGACTTTAAAAATAATATTTTTATATAGTTTGTCATAAAATGTGAGATGAAAAAGTCATTATCAAAAAAGTCAAAAACTCATAATTCGTTGAAAAGACATAATTATGACAGTCGAAACATGATATACTAAGTTATAATTATGAGATAAAAAAGTCATAATTACCAAATAAGACCTAGCAAGTCATAATAATGACATAAAAAGTTGAAATTCTGACTTAAATTGTCATAATGCTTATGTTTAAGTTATAAAGCTTTGGTAAATCATAATTATGATTTTTCATGTCAGAATTATGACGTACTATATCATAATTTGAATGTGAAATATGATTCACCAAAGCATGTTTTTTTCTTGTTCTTGTAAACTGTTATGCCACATCTCCCCCTGTCAGATGAATTATTGTGACTCTCGTATTTATCTGAATCTCTGCACATTAAACTCTCGCTCTTCAACATTTGGTCTCATTCAGGAATCATTCACTGGCTTTTTCCACGAGATCTTGCCGAGTGAAATTACCGTGTGATATTAGTAGTGTGATAATTGTCTTTCATTCTGCCACAGGGAAGGTCACGACACATACGACAGAAAAGAGCATCGCACTTCCTCATATACGGCCCCTAAGAAAGGCAAGAAGAAAACCTGAAACCTCCATGAGCAGCCTTATGCTTGAGGTGATTTCACTTATTTCACTGTAGCCAACAGAAAATAATAATGTCGCCTCAATATGTTTCTGCCAACGCAGCAGCCTTAGACTAAGCTTGAGAAATGATTGGTTTGGTTCAGCTTTGTAATATGACTGTCTGTAAATATAAAACTGGACTTAAAACATCAATAAAACACTTGAACATGTGCTCTAGAGAACTAGTTATTGTTTTATGATTTACCTGCATCTGATGTGAATTTTGCCCGTTTGCGTTTTGCATTATATCCGTCGTGAAGCAACTCACTCTCGTTCATTTACACACAACATGTTTGCGAAACAATAACCTTGAATTGCATTATAATGAATGCATTCATAATTCTGAACGTCACACAGAAGGTTTTTTGAGAATTTCCTGTTTGAATGAATGAATGCCGACATCTCTAAACCCATAAACACTCACGCTTCTCAGTTGTATTTGCTGTTGGATTCTCTCTCTGCAGAATATGATCTTGTTTTCAGTAGAAGCTGTTCTGAGCAGTGATGAATAATTGAAAGGCGAGTATTGAGGGTGAGAGCGCTGTCAGAGACGTATGACAGGAAGTGTTTGAGAGCCATATACTGACATTTAAGATGCTACAGGACTCTATCGTCTTGTACTTACTGTGTTTTTGTGGGTGATTTATTTGTTGGCATCAGCTTTGGCAGAGATAACAAAAAGACAAAATTAAAATAAATGGAGAAAAATGAAATGTACAAAGTGTGTGTGTGTGTGTGTGTGTGTGTTTGTAAGATGTGAATTGTACACTGAGTTAATCAAAGCACATATCAGCACATCAGCTGCTTTACTGTGTTATCACTTTATGACTTTGTTAACATGTTTGTTTGTGTGTGAGTGTGTGTGAGAGCGTGCGTGTCTGTGAGCGTGTGTGTGAGTGTGTGTGAGAGCGTGCGTGTCTGTGAGCGTGTGTGTGAGTGTGTGTGTGTGTGTGTGTGTGTGTGTACAGTAAACCAGTGTTTGTCCTTTAACCCACATATATTCTGTAATTACATCACACGCCAAGATGTAGTCCTGACCTTAAAAGCCTAGTCATGGTTTTTATTTTATTTTATTTTGAGCATTACATCTGTATTTTATTTTGTTTTATTTTATTTTATATTACTTTTAACTTATTTTTAGCATTACCTGTATTTTATTTTGAGTATTATACTTGTATTTTATTTATTTTATTTTATTTTACTTTATTTAGAGCATTACACCTGAGTTTTATTTTATTTTATTTTGAACATACTTGATTGATTTTATTTATTTATATATTTAGTTAACTTTATTTAGAGCATTACACCTGTATTTTATTTTATTTTATTTTGAACATACTTGATTGATTTTATTTATTTATATATTTAGTTAACTTTATTTAGAGCATTACACCTGTATTTTATTTTATTTTATTTTGAACATACTTGATTGATTTTATTTATTTATATATTTAGTTAACTTTATTTAGAGCATTACACCTGTATTTTATTTTATTTTGAACATTGCACCTCTATTTAATTTTGCTCTTTATTCTCAAAACACTGGGCAGTTCTGAATGTTTGTGCGAACATGATCGTCTCTGTTGATCCACACCTTCATCATCATCATCATCATCTCAGAAAACAGCTGAGGTTAATGACTAAACCAAGACATGTGGCATAAACGTTAACCTTCAACAAGCATCTTTACTCTTTATTACCACTACATGCACTTTTGCTTTCTCCAGCCCTACTGTTGTTTACTGGCCTGTTTTATTGTGTTTTATAGTTGACTGGAATCACACACTGGAGTTTGTGTTGGTTAAACTGTGTTTTCCCCATCTCCTTTTAAAATCCATATCATTTAAAGTACTTTAAAAGCTTTAATCAAATGTAAATATACATTAAAAGAATATTCTGGGTTATAGACAGAATCTGTGACATGCTGTTGATCACCAAAGCCGGTTTATACGTTTATAAAAACAAACAAACATTATATTTATAGTCAAAAGCATGAAGCCTGATGATCAGAGGGTTTAAAAGCATTTGTATTTTTGCAAGTTCTTCAGTAAAATGTTTAAATCGGCTTATTAGTGCTTCTGGATGTGTTTGGAGTTATGCATTATGGACATTTATTCTTCTGCAGATCATCTAAATATCATCAGGTTTCCCAGACATACACATGCATGAGCTGAAATACAGGATAACTTAATGCAATACTGGAAATATTAATGCATTTCATGCTGACATGCGTGTGTTTGTCATGTTATTGATAAAAGTGTTATGAAAGATGCATATTCTGCACTTCTGAGACAGTATTAATTGTCACGCAATATCTCTGTTTTAGAACTGAAATCAGACAATAGCAGAATGTAAGAAAGATATCCTAGATTCTGAATTTATTATCACGAACTGTATCTATGCTTTTCATCTAAAATCTACAACACTTGTCAGAACAATATATATATATATATATAAATAGGGAACAAAATGTACATGTCACAATAAAACAAAAAAAAGCATCTCATTTAAGTAATAATAGGCCATTAGTTTTATTTGCAATGCTGGAGAAACGACAGAATTATTAGTGGTCAAAAACACAGTTTCTGGAAGTGTCTGTCGTTGACCCATGAGTGCGGTGACTTAAAGAAACGTCCACAGACAGACTCACAGCGCTCTACAGTACAGACAGGAGGAGTGGGCGGGGCTTATTGTTGTGGGTGGGGTTAGGGGCGTGGCCGGGTGCTTCACATTATCTTGAAAAATCCAGCCTTTGACCTAAAACTATTTCTTCAGAGATCCTGACATCTTCCGCAGTCCCTTCATCCGGTACAGCAGACCGTTGATAAAGTCCTGCGGTCAGAGAGAGATCCTGCTTAAGAGCTTAAAGGGGTCATATGATGCGATTTCATGTTTTCCTTTCTCTGTGGAGTGCTACAAGCTGATTGTGCATAGATAAGATCCCTGAAGTTGCAAAGACTAAAGTCTCAAAACCAAAGAGATATTCTTTATCAAAGTTAAGACTCTGCCACGCCCCCCTAAAACGGCTCGTTCTAACACGCCCCCACATATCTACATCACTATGTGGAAATATTTGCATAATGCGCCCAAATGTTCACGCAAAGAAAGAAGGCGTGGTTTCAGTAACCGCAGTTAGTGTTGAAGCAGCATGTCAGGGAGACGTTTTTTTGAACATTAAAGCATGTCAACATATTCTGTTACACCAAATACACAAAATAATGATCTTTAAAAAAGCATCATATGACCCCTTTAAAGTTTAGAGTGCTGTTAAACTTTAGAACCATGTGCTGCTTAATTTATTATGAAATACTGGCAGTTAAAACCATGGTAATGTAACTTAAAGTTGATCTATTCAAAGTTAGTTGCACTTTCTTTTATGTTAAAATTACAATTTATAATGAAAAGTATTTGGATTACACAGTTTTAACATAAAAAACATAAACTGATGTATATAATATTACATAATTATACATTTGTTCAAATATTTATTAATAAAGTATGACATGATTTTTTCCCCCTTTTTTTGAATGCAGAAATCTTTGATATATGACTGCCAAATATGAATCATTTTAGTTTATGTTAAAACTGTAATCGAAATGGATGGAAAAATGATATGCAGTCCAAATACATGAATCTGATTTTTTTTTTTGCAGTGCATCTGATTTTTAGGGGAATTTTCTTCCTAATATGCATAAAAAAGAAATACAATAAATATTTAGAAAAATGAATAAAGATGACAAATGCATGTAACAAAATGAAAACGGGAAATAAAAAACATAAAAGCCAATTCAAAATATTAATACATAATACACTAATACTTTAATAAATAAAATAAAATATATAATTATTAGATGAAAATCAGAAATTCCCTTGTTAGAAGTTCCCTTGGCAACTAAGTGAAAATAAGATTAAGTAAAATGACTAAAGCTGAAATAAAAAGAAACTAAAGCTAAATAATTCTAAATAAATAATATAAAACATATATATATATATATATAATACTTATAATAATATTCAAACAAGATCATTTAATCCAGATGGACATTTTATATGCCATTAAAATACATAAATCTTTCATTTACGCCTAAATATTTTTCAGTGCATCTGATTTTTTGGTAAATTTTCTTCATAATCACTGTAATATGAAGCATGACTCATCTGTTAATAAGTGCATATGAAAGCAGTTTGTGGTTTTCTCTTACCTCCTTTGGCTTTCCACATTCTTGCAAAAGCTCCTGTTAAAACACAGAACAGCTGGTAGAGCATCTGTACATGTTTATCATAAAGTTATAGATGCATGCAGTCGCACGATGCTGTGCTGCACCGGTTATGTGTGTGGTGTTATGATTGAGATGAAGCTGAGCGTACGTGCAGTCGAGATCTCTGTTCTGCATCTGTCAGCTCTAGAAGTTCATCGATGTCGATCTCCAGCTCGGGAACCTCCTCCTCCTGCACAGACAATCAATGACTCGTCGTAACCCAGACTCTGTGCATTTAATAATGCAACCGCTCCTTTCATTGCAAACAAATCTATTGATAGTTATGAAAGATATTGGTCCAGAGATATTGCTGATGCAATCAAACTAGAAACAGCAGTGTGTCTAACTGAGAAATGATGCTGGAAATGCAGAAGCAGTAAGAGTCAGGCTATTAAAGACTAATTATGATAAAGATTTTAGGTGGCTCGATGCCATAAAGCTTACATACAGTATGACTTAATTGACTGTTAAATTTCATTAATCCTTATGTCTGGATGACGCCCATATGGCAATTAAATTAAATCTTTTTTAAATATATATTTTTAAATATATTTCAAAATGGCCAAAATGTATTTGCTAAAATATATTTGAAGATATATTTATTTTCTATCAATATTTTTTGGCAATTTCTTTGTATATTTTTTAAAAGATATTAAAGGGATAGTTCACCCAAAAATGAAAATGTGATGTTTATCTGCTTACCCGCAGGGCATCCAAGATGTAGGTGACTTTGTTTCTTCAGTAGAACACAAATGATGATTTTTAACTTTAACCGTTGCAGTCTGTCAGTCGTATAATGCATGGCAATGGTAACAAAATCTATGAGAGTAAAAAAAACATGCACAGACAAATCCAAATTAAACCCTGCGGCTCGTGACGACACATTGATGTCCTAAGACACGAAACGATCGGTTTGTGCGAGAAACCAAACAGTATTTATATCATATTTTACCTCTAATACACCACTATGTCCAGCTGTCTTTATGCGTGCGCACAGCATCCGGTGCGTGAGGTGTGTACTATTGGTTACATTATTTAGAGTTAAAGTAATGTAAAAGCGTAAGTTGCCAAGATTTATTGATCATGTACATTTTTATAGTGATGGTAACCATGTTGTCTGCCAAAAGTATCATAAAATAATCATGAGCAACGTTTACATTTCTTCTTCTGTGTTCTGAAAAAGAATAAAGTTCATACAGCTTTATAAAAACAGCAGGTCGAGTAAATAATCCCAGAACTAACAGTTCTCACAACTTCCACTAATGTTTTTTTTTAAGTTGTATAAATGTAGGGACAACGTTGAGAGCAAACATTCTGGGAACAGCATTCTCAAAATGTTTTTATGGTGTTCTTTGTACTTATTGAACATTCTAAGAAATGTTTTTGTAACCTTCAGATAGCATTCTAATCACAACAAGAAAAATTTACATTTTAACATTCTTAGAATATTAAAAATAATGTTATATTTAGGGTTAAATAAAGTTAGCAGAATGTTGTAAGAAATGTTCTTGTAATCCTTAAATAAAGTTATAACCATGACAAGAATTGTTTTTTAGATAAATTTCAAAACAATGTTCCCCCAAAGTTCACTTTCAGTCGGTCACTCTTGACATCACGTCGGTAATGACCGACAAATAGGGTCTCGCTTAGAGAGACCAATCCACTTTGAGTGTAAACTAAATGAGCCAATGCACATTGGCATGCGATGATTGCATCCAACCGTCTCAGAGGGCGCTTACATCAGAAGCATCTGGGGTTGCTTCGTGCCATTCATATTCCGGGTCTGCACAACCGTACGCCCGACGAGCTGTCACGAGCTGGAGACTCCATCCCCAGACGGTCCAGCTGGCACTCAGCAGGTCGGGGGGCCTGTGCAAGTATGCGTTTACCCCAGTGAGCTTTCACGCACAGATGCTGTAAGAATTTTGAACCTGGCTTTATCCAATGTTTAGATTTATTTTCTGGAAATTTGTGTATACTTAATTAGGAAACGCCTCATTTGCATCTTTAAACATAACATTTCAAAAAACTTGTAATACAAAAAATATATATAGTTTGCAACTCTTAATGTAATCAATCAACTGGAGAAGTATGGTGATGTCTATTAGTTAAATTTTTTTGACTATTCACCTGGTGTGTCTTGGCTTAAGCGTACAGTATATCTTCAGATGGATTACATCAGTGAAATGCACAATAGTACCACAGTAGACATGAAAGCGTGCTCTTTAAATAGAGCTGCTTTAACGTGTATTTAGGACACAACAGACGTCTTCCCCTCAAAGCCTGTTCCATTTAAATCCCCTGAAAAAAAAATAGAAAAGAAAGATATGTGTAAAGCAGTACTTCTGTACAGTACATGCGTGTTAATCAGGAATCATTCAGTTCTGTGTCATCTGATGGCTACAGTAGAGTAAACACACACACACCGATGCTTGACATCTGCCACTACCTTCAGCACTTTCTCTCTCTCTCACACACACCATGCTGAAAGATCTGCACCGCTGAATGCTTAAATGTCCCACGTGTCCTTGAGTGCTCGAGTTTAATAGTAACAGGTCGGGGTCAGACATTAACCATGACTGCTAGGTGAGCCGGATATTTCAAATGTGGAGGCAGAATTGATTTCCTCTGTTCTTGTAATCTGTAATCTTACATTTGGTATACTCTCTTCTATTCTAGTTCTGTCTGGTGATGGGTTTAGTGACTTGTAACTCGCTGTTTCGGAGGTGAGTGTTGTTGAAAGTGGAGCTAACGTAAAAGGGATGCTGATGAAAAAAAAAAATTAATAAAGCACTCAACTCTCCAACAGCTCAAAAACCTGAAACAGCAATTATAGTCAAATCTAAAGTTACAGTAAACAATAGAACGCTGGTGATGTATTTCACATATATTCTAACAGTGTTTGATATCTCGCTTTATTTACAGCTCTCTTTTGATGTTGAATTATATTAATTTCAGACTTAGTTGTTCATATTAAGAATTTGTTTCATTTGATTGGTTCACTTGCATGATTTTATATGATTTTATATCATTTTATCTGACTTTGTTGCAACCTAGAATTAAACTGCTGGTCTCGTCTGGCCAGAGGAGAATGGCACACTATTTCTTTTTTTTAATACTGTAAAGCTGCTTTGACACAATCTGCATGTTAAAAAACGCTATGTAAATAATGGTGACTTGACTTGAGTTGATTACAAGAAATATACCCAAATAAAGGTAAAAATGCATGGGAAATATTTCATTTCTGATACTGAAGCAATAAGAAATTAATACTTGTTCCTTGATACCGTAACTTACATTCGTGCATTACATTTTGTTTTTCAACTCATGCATTGCCTTGCATCATGCTCTGTTTCTTGAGCTACAGGAACTACCTGTATTTTTCTACCTGTAATGTAAGACAGCTTTACACCAGTGTACAGCTGTCATATGCAAGATATCATATCACAAAAGCCCATGATGCAGTTCATCATGTTATCAGGGTGGGTTAAGATGGTAACTGAACGCTGTAGTTTCAGTTATCACAGATGAACTCCTCAGTTACTGCAGAGAGTAAATGACTAATTATTCCTGTAGAGCATGGCGCTTGCAACTCCAAGGTCATAAGTTCGATTTCCTGAGAATCTCATGGATGCAATGTAGGTAAATGTAAGTTTTTGGATAAAAGCATCTGCCAGATGCAAGAATGTAAACAAATCCTAAAACATTATTTTATCTGTTTTGGACAAAGAACTGTTTCTCTAACCAGAAATCTCACTTTGCTGCATTAGAAATGCTGTTTTTATTTTTGCTTTCCATGAAGTGCAAAAATACACTTAGCTCTGGTTTAATCTAAAGCCTTTTCACACCAAGGATGATGACTATAATGATAGCTATTGGCTGTCCATAACATATTCTTTCAGAATAGTGAAAAGAAAACATCCAAAATACACTTTCAAGTGTTTATTTTGTTGCACTTTATCTACTGGCGTCTATATTTCAATTATAATACATACATTTAAAGAGTTTATCTCCACTGCAGCAGCACTTACATACACCAAAATTTACAGTTTTATTCTTTTCTATATTCTGAGTTTGTTTGAGGGGTTTGTTTATATATCATTCACCCGATTTTATTATTGCGCTTTATCTCTTTACTTCTGTAGATTTCAGTTAAAATACATATCTTTAAAGGCTGTTTTATCAAAATAAGTTTTTAACTCCACTTCACATGCACCAAATTTCAGAATTGAATTCCAATCTACATTCTGAAGATTTTAATAGAGCGATTTGCTCATATATCATCCACCTGGTTTTGTACAGCGTTTTATGCCTAAAAACCTAGTAAAAAAATTCTGACTCAAGACAATATTTTTCAAATTATACAGTGAGAAAAAGAGATATCCAAAATCCTCACTGTCAACAAAATATAACAAGAATTTTGAACCTGGCTTTATCCAATGTTTAGATTTATTTTCTGGAAATTTGTGTATACTTAATTAGGAAACGCCTCATTTGCATCTTTAAACATAACATTTCAAAAATCTTCTAATACAAAAAAAATATATAGTTTGCAACTCTTAATGTAATCAATCAACTGGAGAAGTATGGTGATGTCTATTAGTTAAATTTTTTTGACTATTCACCTGGTGTGTCTTGGCTTAAGCGTACAGTATATCTTCAGATGGATTACATCAGTGAAATGCACAATAGTACCACAGTAGACATGAAAGCGTGCTCTTTAAATAGAGCTGCTTTAACATGTATTTAGGACACAACAGACGTCTTCCCCTCAAAGCCTGCTCCATTTAAATCCCCTTTAAACAACTAGAAAAGAAAGATATGTGTAAAGCAGTACTTCTGTACAGTACATGCGTGTTAATCAGGAATCATTCAGTTCTGTGTCATCTGATGGCTACAGTAGAGTAAACACACACACACCGATGCTTGACATCTGCCACTACCTTCAGCACTTTCTCTCTCTCTCACACACACCATGCTGAAAGATCTGCACCGCTGAATGCTTAAATGTCCCACGTGTCCTTGAGTGCTCGAGTTTAATAGTAACAGGTCGGGGTCAGACATTAACCATGACTGCTAGGTGAGCCGGATATTTCAAATGTGGAGGCAGAATTGATTTCCTCTGTTCTTGTAATCTGTAATCTTACATTTGGTATACTCTCTTCTATTCTAGTTCTGTCTGGTGATGGGTTTAGTGACTTGTAACTCGCTGTTTCGGAGGTGAGTGTTGTTGAAAGTGGAGCTAACGTAAAAGGGATGCTGATGAAAAAAAAAAATTAATAAAGCACTCAACTCTCCAACAGCTCAAAAACCTGAAACAGCAATTATAGTCAAATCTAAAGTTACAGTAAACAATAGAACGCTGGTGATGTATTTCACATATATTCTAACAGTGTTTGATATCTCGCTTTATTTACAGCTCTCTTTTGATGTTGAATTATATTAATTTCAGACTTAGTTGTTCATATTAAGAATTTGTTTCATTTGATTGGTTCACTTGCATGATTTTATATGATTTTATATCATTTTATCTGACTTTGTTGCAACCTAGAATTAAACTGCTGGTCTCGTCTGGCCAGAGGAGAATGGCACACTATTTCTTTTTTTTAATACTGTAAAGCTGCTTTGACACAATCTGCATGTTAAAAAACGCTATGTAAATAATGGTGACTTGACTTGAGTTGATTACAAGAAATATACCCAAATAAAGGTAAAAATGCATGGGAAATATTTCATTTCTGATACTGAAGCAATAAGAAATTAATACTTGTTCCTTGATACCGTAACTTACATTCGTGCATTACATTTTGTTTTTCAACTCATGCATTGCCTTGCATCATGCTCTGTTTCTTGAGCTACAGGAACTACCTGTATTTTTCTACCTGTAATGTAAGACAGCTTTACACCAGTGTACAGCTGTCATATGCAAGATATCATATCACAAAGCCCATGGTGCAGTTCATCATGTTATCAGGGTGGGTTAAGATGGTAACTGAATGCTGTAGTTTCAGTTATCACAGATGAACTCCTCAGTTACTGCAGAGAGTAAATTACTAATTATTCCTGTAGAGCATGGCGCTTGCAACTCCAAGGTCATAAGTTCGATTTCCTGAGAATCTCATGGATGCAATGTAGGTAAATGTAAGTTTTTGGATAAAAGCATCTGCCAGATGCAAGAATGTAAACAAATCCTAAAACATTATTTTATCTGTTTTGGACAAAGAACTGTTTCTCTAACCAGAAATCTCACTTTGCTGCATTAGAAATGCTGTTTTTATTTTTGCTTTCCATGAAGTGCAAAAATACACTCAGCTCTGGTTTAATCTAAAGCCTTTTCACACCAAGGATGATGACTATAATGATAGCTATAACTATAAAGTTAAATAATCCTTAAGTTTACATGACTTTAAGTCCACAACTATAGCAATAAAACTATAATAATTAAATAAAAAGTATGTGAAATAAAAACAAAACTGCTAAAAAAAAAAAGTATGATGTGATGCTGAAATAACACTGATTGGAATCACTTTCAGAACGATTTTTCCAGCTGATGAACAATAAAAACTTTGAAAGCCAATCAGGATCCATCTAAAAGAGCGTTATGGCACAGAAACGCTCGTTATCACAGGTCGGAGGGGACGTTATCATTACAGATATTATTCTTAGTGTGAACGAGTCTCAACCATAAAGGTTTAGGATTGCAGATTTCAGGTGTTTGTTGCGTGTCATGTTGGGAGAGATTGACATTAGAGCAGCTGTCGGTCAGCGGGCTGCGGGTTATAATCCGCACATGTGGGCGTCGTTGAGGAAAAACAGCTTGATCTGTTCAAATATCATCACCTTCTCTCCTCTAATGTCACTGTATCCTCAGCACATTCGAGTAAATGTCGTGCGATCACACACACATCCCATCATGCTGAACCAGCCAGAATCCTGTTGCCATGGTAGCGCGGGATGCAGCGGATACAGTCTCTCTGATGTAATGCGGCAGATGTTGCGCATCTCCAGATGTCCGTGACTCGTCATCACCGGCAAATCATGACGTCAGCTGAATGCTGATTACAGTCTGATCTGTGCACACTTTAAGGAATGTTCTGGGTTCAACATGAGCGGCATCTGTGACGTGCTGTCATTCATTCATTCACACTCGTCCCTCAGTTGGTTAAAATATATGTGTACATATATATATATATACACATACATACAGTATATACATACCTGTATATATATATGACCCTCTCTGTGAAATCCAGGCTAAAGTCTCAAAATCTAATTATGAGATAACAAGCATCAAAGTTTGATTTCAACCATAAAAAGTCAATATTAAAGATTTCAAGGTTACATTTTCACAGAATGTTCTTTACCTTACGAAGGATGATTTTATGTAGAAAACAGTCAGTCACAAAAAATGACTTTAGCTGGGTTTTCACAGCCAGGGTCACACACACACATATATATATATATTTCGTTCTTGTTTTATATACATTTATCAGTGCATTGTCTTGCCCTGTAGATGTCTGTTATAAATGCATTACTTAGATTTTTGCTTGTTTTTTCAGTCTGAGAAAGAAGTCGCAATGATTTTTTGTGGAAATCGACATCATGTCAGATGTCAGTGGTGGTGGTGGTTCACATAAAGGCACTGAGACATTCTATAAAGAAATCTAGTGCTTGTAATGTTGCTCATTTGTAAATCTGGTTCAGATTAGCATCTGCTAAATGAATAAATGTACGTGGAAAAAACTGCACAAGAAGGATGATTTCAACACATTTCTGAAGCTTTAAGCCATTAACTTTCTTGGCTCTTCATAGAATAAAGTTTTATAAGTGGGATGGCAGATCTGATGGGGTTGAACAATGACTCAAACAATGAAATAATATTGTTAATTGTTAAAATGTTCCTCAATTTCACGATTCAACCTGACTTATATGTATATAATAATGTATTTCCTCTAGGAAACCTTCAACCGACTTCCCTCAATGGTTCCTCCTAGACAGCCATGAGATTAAATAGAGATATTTACTAACATCTCCTGCTTCTCACATGTTTCTCCAGAGAAAGAGAGAAGAGTTTCTCAAAAATACTGCATTCAAAAGTCAGAGACCTCAGTATGACCTCATTTCATAGGATGACAACTAGTGACTGGTTGAAGTCTCATGAGGAGTTTTAGGAGAAGCATTCATTTTTCTGCATTATTTCCTTGGGTCTGATCGTGCTGTAATGCATCTCAGAGCGTCTGTCTCTCTGGATCTGTCTTACCTCGCAGCCGTACAGCAGGTGCAGCTGCCCGTCGATCCACTCCTCGATGTCCAGCCTCCTCTGGAGGTCTTTGCGGTTGTATTTGACCGTCAGTTTGCCCAGTTTGCGTTGGGCAGGCTCCTCCACTTTGGTCTGAAACATCACTCTGGACTGGGTGCCCGGCTCCGACGCCATGCCTGCCACAACCTCACACCAACGGGGAGAAGACCAAGAGACGGCAGCCTCTTTCTCTGTCTGTCTGTCTGTCTCACAGATTCAAACACAGGCTCCTTCAGTCGCCGTCTTGCTGTTGTTTGCTCCTCAGTGTGTGTCTCTATACTGCAGTGTGTTTCTGACTCATGATCGTGGTGTTTCTGTCCGACAGCCTCCTTTAGTGCCTGTCTTCTGTCTGCGCTCTACTAACACTGACTCCCTCCCTCCCTCTCCCTGTCTCTCTCTCTCTTGCTCACTCACTGTCTGCCGTCTTCATGTGTGTGTGTGTTAAGGAGGAACATAGTTCAACTTAAGACTGATAACATGCAGTAAGATTGGGGTCGGAGGCCAAAACACTTGTTTTAAAGCACTTGTTACTATTTATGGAATCCATATGCGGAATTAAAAATTACATTTATATTTATTCATTAAACAAATGCTTTTATAAAGAAAATATTTTACTTATTGTTTCAATTATAATTTTAAAAATGATAATAATTATAATTATAATTAATTTAGCTATTCTGTTTAGTTTTAAAAAAAAATTTACTAATTGTATGCTATTAATACATTTGTGAAGAAACTATGCTGTTTGCTAGTGCAAAACTCACCATCATAACTGTTATTGGTTGCCAGGGTGTTGCTGGGGTCTTCTGGGTGGTTGCTAGGGATTGTTATGAGGTTGTTAAGATGTGTCTGTTAGTGTGTTGTTATGGTGTTCTGGGTGGTTGCTAGAGGTTGCCAAACTGTTGCTAGGGTGTTCTGGGTGGTTCTTAGGAGGTTGTTAAGCTGTTGCTAGGGTGTTCTGTGTGGTGCCTAGGGAGTTACTAAGCTGTTGCTAGGGTGTTCTTGTTCTGAATGGTTGCCAGGGTGTTGCTATGTGTTTGCCTGGATGTTCTGGGTGGTTTCTAGGGCATTGGTATAAGGTTGCTAAGAGATTCTAAATGACAGTTAGAGTGTTAGTGTGCTCCGTGGTTTCTAGGGTGCTCCAGGTGTTTCCTGCGGGGTTGCTAAGCTGTTGCTAGGGTGTTCTTGATCTGAATGGTTGCCAGGGTGTTGCTATGTGTTTGCGTAGGTGTTATGGGTGGTTGCTAGGGCATTGGTACAACATTATTAAGATATTATGAGTGGCTGTTAGTGTGTTACTATGTGGTTTCTAGGGTGTTCTGGGGGCTTAGAGCTGTTGGGTGGTCGCCATGGTATTGCTATACATTTTCTGTGGTAGTTGCTAGGGCATTAGTATAAGGTTGCTAAGATGTGTATGCTGTTAGTGTGTTGCTATGTGGGTGTTGCTAAGCTGTTGCTGTGGTGTTTTGGGTGGTTGCTAAGCTGTTGCTAGGGTGTTCTGAATGGTTGCCAAAGTGTTGCTATGTGGTTGTTACAGTTTGCTAGGATATTTTGCGTGGTTGTTGCTAAGATGTTCTGAGTGTCTGATAGTGTGTTACTATGTGGTTTCCAGGGTGTTCTGTGTTCTTAGAGCTGTTGAGTGGTTGCCAGGGTGTGGCATTGCTAGGGTGATTTGGGTGATTGTTAGGGGGTTGCTAAGCTGATTCTTGGCTGTTTTGGGTGGTTGCTAAGCTGTTGCTAGAGTGTTCTGAATGGTTGTCAAGGTGTTGCTATGTGGTTCTTACAGTTTGTTAGGGAATTGTGCGTGGTTGCTAGGGCATTGGTTAAAAGTTGCCAAGATGCTCTAAATGGCTGTTATTGGTTCTAGAGTGATCGAAGTGCTTAAAGTGTGGCTAAGCTGTTGCTAGGGTGTTCTGGGTGGTTAGGGTTGCTTACTGTCTCAAGTGAAAAGAGTCTCTGTGATATTCACATAACTATATATTAGCAGCGTTGATTTTGGAGCACACCTCGTTTGCTCAGACACTTTGCCCCATTATCAGAGGTAATGGTGCTTTCATTACGAGTGATATCCTGTGCCAGGAGGAAATGGAGAGTAATGGATGTGACTTTGCCCCATTTCGATTAAATGGGGTTCAGCGAAGAGCCATATATGTCAAAATAATCCTCTCTTAGCAGCTGATATGTCAGTTGTCACTTAGAGCTGCAGGCCAGATCATAAAGTTTCCATTTACTGCAACTGAGCTTTTTCCCGTAAGGCCGATGGTGCACAGAGAGAAACACTTGCTATCAATTGATGTGCTTACAGGTTACTCACAATATTTCCAGGATATTACAATGATTAAATGATTAATATCAACAGTGCTGGGTAGATTACTTACAAAATGTACTCCACTACTGATTCCAAATTACGTGACAAAAATTGTAGTTAGTAACGTAACCCATTACTTTACACATTTTAGTTCAGAAAACAGGATGTAATAGAATAGAATAGAATGTAATAGTGTACTTGAATGTGTTTATTTTCTTTTGGGATCCATTTAAACTCATCAATAAGCTCATGTAAGACTTCTTTTTATCTAGTGTCTGTATCATGCTCAAGTATGACAGAAGCGCGGTCACCTGTGTCTACCAGCGCAGATTATCTATATGTTGACCAGAAACCCTCCAAACATGCAGTAGAAATCAACCATGTCTTTTATAGCTGCCATTATCAGGAGTGTGAGTGATAAGGCCTGAAACTAAATGGGCGCACCTTAATAAATGATGGATGAGGAGACGCAGCAATGCAACAGACTGGAGTGCTTTGGACAGAACAAAACTTGATATGCGAGAAACATGTTTATGGTGCCCGCAGTGCATCAAACATTGCTTCAAGTTGTCCAAACAGAATTCTGTGGTGTAGTAGGCTGGACAAAAGGCGTGCATCGGCTATTACAAAGATCCGATTTCGATAAAAACAATGGCTGTCTCTTTTCCCTTTTGTTTTGTCAAGGCATATCAGTCAAGTGCAGCTCTGCTGCTTCTCCTGCCGATGTGCCGTCTGTTACAAACTCTAAATTATTGAGCAACGTGGCAGCTCATCTTTCACAGCCAACAAATTCATTAATCCGAGCCAAGACTCAAAAATAGGGCCAGCCGATGATTCAGGGCATGCATTCCCTAGAAACGCTGTGCTTTTTAAGAAAAATTATAGATTTTCTGAAGAAAATATGGTGTTTGTCCATGCAAAGCTCACCAACACACACAACGGTGTGGTGAATGGTTGCCAGGGTGTTGCTATGCAGTTGCATACAGAATGTGTTTTGCGGGTTAATAGCGTGTTGCCATGCAGTTGCTATGAAGTTGTGGATAGTTGCCAGGGTGTTGCTATGAAGGTGAATATACGTTATGTGGGTTAGTGTGTTGCCATGCAGTTGCTACGGTGTTGTGGATGGTTGCCATGGCATTGGTATGCAGTTGCTAGGGTGTTGTAGATGGTTGCCAGGGTGTTGCTATGCAGTTGCATATACATTCTGTGGGTTAGTGTGTTGCCATGCAGTTGCTAGGGTGTTGTGAATGGTTGCCAGGGCATTGCCCTGCGGTTGTTAAGGTGTTGTTAATGGTTGCCAGGGCGTTGCCATGCAGATGCTTTGGTGTTGTGGAGGGTTGCCAGGGCATTACTACGCAGCTGCATACAGTATATGTTCTACAGGTTAATAGTGTGTTGCCATACAGTTGCTAGGATGTTGTAATAATAATAATAATTCATTACATTTATATAGCGCTTTTCTAGGCACTCAAAGCGCTTTACATTGTCAGGGGGTATCTCCTCATCCACCACCAGTGTGCAGCATCTACCTGGATGATGCGACGGCAGCCATAGTGCGCCAGAACGCACACCACACACCAGCTTATTGGTGGAGAGGAGACAGAGTGATGAAGCCAATTAGCAGATATGGGGATTGTTAGGAGGCCATGATGATCAGAGGCCAATGGGCAAATTTGGCCAGGATGCCGAGGTCACACCTCTACTCTTTGGGATTTTTAATGACCACAGAGAGTCAGGACCTCGGTTTAACGTCTCATCCGAAGGATGGTGCTTGTTGACAGTATAGTGTCCCCGTCACTATACTGGGGCGTTAGGACCCACACCCACAGGGTGAGCACCCCCTGCTGGCCTCACTAACACCTCTTCCAGCAGCAACCTTGTTTTCCAAGGAGGTCTCCCATCCAGGTACTGACCAGGCTCAGCCCTGCTTAGCTTCAGTGGGCAACCAGGCTTGGGCTACAGGGTGATATGGCTGCCTGCCTTGGCTGTTGTAGATGGTTGCCAGGGTGTTGCTATGCAAATACATACAGTATGTGTGCTGCAGGTTAATAGAGTGTTGCCCTGCAGTTGCTAGGGTGTTGTGGATGGTTGCCAGGGCGTTGTTATTCAGCTGCGTCTGTGTTCTGCAGGTTAATAGTGTGTTGCCATGCAGTTGCTAGGGTGTTGCAGATGGTTGTCAAAGCGTTGCTATGCCATTGAATATGTGTTTTGCAGGTTAATAGTGTGTTGCCATGCAGTTGCTAGGATGTTGTGGATGGTTGCCAGGGTGTTGCTATTCAGTTGCATATGTGTTTTCAATATAGATAGATAATTTATTTGTCCTCTGAGAGGAAATTCATTTTCAAATTTGCAGGTTAATAGTGTGTTGCCATGCAATTACTAGAGTCTTGTGGATGGTTGCCAGGGTGTTGTTATGCAGTTGCATGTGTATTATGAGTGGTTAATAGTGTGTTGCTATGCAGTTGCTAGGGTGTTCTGGATGGTTGCTTACTGGCCCAAATGAATGAGTCTATTTAATATTCCGCTCTCTAGATTTGCCTTGAGTCCCTTCTTAATGTGCTCAGAAGAGTCAGTCAGTGATGTAAATGCATGATCAGCCTCACCACAGTGAGTTTCAGTGCTTACATAAGAGCATTCACTGAGACTGAGGCTGATCTGCTGTGTGTGAATGTGAGTGGATCTCTTTGTCTCTGTATGGCATCGCTCCAGGATGAGTCAGCGACTGTTGGCTGTGTTATCAAAGCTCAACATTGTTGTCTTTAACACTCCCACTGACTGATGATGATGGTATTCAGGAGCTTTAGATGTCACTGCCATCTGGTGTCTGTAGCGAAAAACTGTAGGTCTTTAACATTTGTATGCATTTGGCATACAGTGGGGCAAAAAAAGTATTTAGTCAGCCACCAATTGTGCAAGTTCTCCCACTTAAAAAGATGAGAGAGGCCTGTAATTTTCATCATAGGTATACCTCAACTATGAGAGACAAAATGAGAAAAAAAAATCCAGAAAATCACATTGTAGGGTATATATATATATGCATCAAAATATATATGCATCAAAAATTTTACACAGTAAAATCTTGTCTGGACTGCAAAATGATGTTGTGCTTTTCAAACTACACTGAAACATTTACAGTGAGTTTTAGTGACAGAAAGAAAATGTCAATGGAAACATCTCACTTCCTGCATTAAAAACCAGAATTGAGGTTTTGACAAATGAAACTGGACATTTATGAATGACACTTTGTAGAAACAAAGTGCGACAGAAAGCAACAGACACCTACAGCAACCACAAACCGGTCAGATGTTTAGGTGGGTTTTCACAGTGGTGTCCCTGGAATGTTTGTTATAAACGTAATTTTTGTTCTACATTTATGTTGATACTGACTGGCCATTTTGTCTAGCTGATTGCTATTGTGTATCACACTGAGCTTTTTAGATATAGACTGACAGCTCTCCTGTCCTCATGTCAGGCCAGATGAGAAATAGTAACGCAAAAGCAACATAATGCATTACTTTACATAAAAAGTAACTAACTAATGCAATTAGTTTCTTTTTTAGGGAGTAACACAATATCGTAATGCATTAACTTTTACCAACACTGTTTGCATGTATAGAGTACATTTATATTTGTAGCAATGAGTACCAGAAAATTCACATTTGCACGTTCATTTTTACATGCAAAGAAGTCAACATTTTGTGCATTATTATGTAAGTATTTAAAGGACACACATCATTTGAAATAATACATCAGTGATTAGAATATTATATAGCCTAGTATATGGTGTATTTCAGTTCAACTGAAAGAAATTACCCAATACATCCACAAATGTTTTTGAGTTGATTTGGCTTTAAACTTGATTTTTCAACAGCAGTGTTGGGGTTTTGATGAAACTGGACTTGAATACGACTTTGAACAGTGCTTTGTGAGGTTTGTGGGGAATGATGCATCTGATGAAGGAAGTGAAACGTTTCCATCAGCTTTGACACAGACACTTGATAACGAAGTGAAACACATTTAATCAATTAACCTTTAAACAGTAATATCGATAAGCATTTTTGTTATTGCATATCAAAACAACTCCATCCCACAACATGCAGACAATAACAACCATTTGATACAAAAACTGTATATTTCATCATATTTTTGGCTCTTTACAGAAGTAGCTAACAGACATCATGTGTCTGCGGTAAGTCATGTCCTGTCTAAGACAGTGTGGTGTTGTCAGACTCAGACAACAGACTTTAGAAACCGGACAAAAAAAGCCTCATAAGAATGAATGACAGACAGAAAAATATTTCTCCACGCATGTAAATGAATGCAGTGTAGCGCGAGGGGGCGGAGTCTGGCTCAGGTGCGTCAGCACTTCCTGCTCGCGCAGGTATCTCGGTATCGGACACACCTGAAGCTCCGGATCTGACTGCCGCAGTTTTACTCGGAATCGACGACGCATTTCCACCGAAACTGCTTTAAACGACGGTTTACGTCTGGCTAATGAGGAATTACACCGTTCTGGAGGAGACGAGCACTTGTAGAGCTGAAAAATAGGTAAGAAGATGAAATGTTTCAGCGCAAAACCAAACATCTGCTGCGTTTTTCTGCGGCGGCCTTGTAATGTTTATGTGTATTTATGAGTAAAGCAGAAATGTTCGACACTACTTTCGATTTTGTGTCACAGACGCTTGGCGAGTGTTTGAACGACATAGCCTACATATAATGCGCACTACATTCTCACTGAAGTTGCTTAAAGTTTCCCTTCGGTTTATTCTTGACCTTTTTAGAGGAGAAAGTGACTTTATTGGTCGAGACGCACGAGACAGTTTACTGAACTGACTTTGAAGTGAGCGTTTTTTCTTGTATATATGATTTTATGACTTATTATAGTAGATAATGCATGTATTAAAGTCTAATACTATATATTAATAAGCTAGTGTAATCTTCTCACGTTGATTTTGAGTCATATAGGTCGATTTAAGGTTATCATCTCAATAACAGTGGCCCAGTTGATCTGGATTCACCATATGTTTGTAAAAATAAAGACTTTTCAGCAGAGAAGTTGTTATTTCCAGAGGAGAAAGACTGCTTATGAGTTCCTTTTGGAATTAGTCATTATTTAGACCATACATATTTATAAGTTTTAATGTGTTTTTGACTTAATCATTATGAAGGGATTTTTCTTGGGGGTTTGTTATTTTGATTTGGGCATTCTTTCAGCTATATTATATTATATAAATATTAAGTGGAAATTGTATTTTATTCAAATGTTCTCTTTCTATTCAGATTGGCCTTTTATCCTTTATAAAGGGATTTTATTTTAAACTTTGTTGACTCCTTTTTGATTGTTTATGGATTTGGTCATTCTACCACCAGCTATATATAAAATATTATTTGAAACGTTTTTTTTATAAGTTTTTCCTAGCACCTGTCGCTTACTGATTGTTTGGAATTATAAATATGAGCGTAGTTCATCTGTTAATATCACATGCAAGTTTTTGTTAGTTGTTGTTTTTAGTTTGTTACTCAGACGCAGGCAGTGCGCTGCACGAGACAAAAAAGTAATCTAGCCAAAACCACCGCATAGCTGCTCTTTAGTGTAGATGCATGCTGAGTTTATCAGACGATGCTGTGATTATAAATGAGAGAGACTCCTGGTTAACATGTATTAAAAGGGGTCGTGTTTAGTCACTATTTAGTGTGGTATTTTTTGACAATATTCACTCATCATGACAGTAAAATAGAGCATTCTAAGTCAATATACTGCAGTATTTCCTCTCAATCAGTACAAAAAATGGTTAACACCCGCTCATGCATGAAAAAAATAATACCGTCATGTACCGTTAAACCGGTATAATTTTGGAAAATACCGTGATATACATTTTTGGTCATACCGCCCAGCACTAACTCCTTTATATATTCATTCTGGATTTAATATGTAGCAGACTGTTTTATAAATATTATTTGGAAGTTTGAATATTTTCGCTTACTTTTCAAATGGGTCTTAAATCATTGTTAAAGGGATTTTGATCTTTAGAGAAATGCTTTTTTTTTTAAATTCTTTATAGATTTATAAAGAACATAAATATAGCTAGTAGAATGACTAAATCCATATAAGTATTATATGTTCGTTTTTATTTTTATCTTTTATTTTTTAAATCTCTTCAGGCTCATTTTGAATCATCTATAAAGGACTTTTCTGGAGGTTTTGTTCTTTGGAGAATGACTCCTTTTCGAGTCTTTGTGCGTTTATGTGATTCATCCTATCAGCTTTATTTACGTTTTATTTGTAGGCTGTAATGTTTAAAGTCTTCTCTTTTCAGATTGGTCTTCGATCATTTATACAAGGATTTTACTGGAGGTTTTGTTCATTTGGAGAATGACTCCGGCTCGGCTCTGGTTCTTCTGGACCGCGGTGGTTTTGCATGTGGCTTCGTCAGAGGCTCAGGATGAAGGGAAATGCATGGATAAGTTCAGTCTTGGCAAAGAGGATTTTGTGTTGGACGTAGATGAATCTGTGAAGGAAGGGGCCACGTTCCTGAGTTCTCCTCAAGTGTCTCGGCCTGAAGACTGTGTTCTGGCCTGCTGTAATGATCCAAACTGTAATCTGGCTCTGATTGAACATGGAGAAAATCCCAAAAGCATCAGCTCGTGCTTCATCTTCAACTGCCTGTACAAACAGAAGAAAGTCTGTCGCTTTGTGAGAAAGAATGGCTTCAACAACTACGTTCTGATATCTGTTTTTAAAGATTACCTTGAGCAAAAAAATTCAGGTAAGCAGAAATTGTGTATCTGGAGATGTTAAAAGACATTACTTTTTTCTGTATATAGTTGACAGCTGTGTTTTGAAACCTATTTTTTAAGATTACGTTGTGCAACAGGTGCAAGGTAAGGGAAATGATCTTAAATGTGTCTAGACGTCTGTTGTAGATGTCTTTTTTTTTACAGTTCAGTAATAAATGAGTATATTCAGGTGTTTTATATGCAGTGTTTTCAGATTTGGCTTAAACCTGTTGAGGAGATACTCCTGGAAATACTCATGCATGTCCAGACCTGCTGAAATCTTCAGAAGTGTTCGGGTTGTAGTAACCAGGGGCGTAGAAATAATTTGAGCAGATGGACACATTTAGACCTTAACCTTGACCGGTTTATTGTTATGGTTAACTAAAATCATAAAAAAAATAGAAATATAAAAAATGAAATATAATGCATTAAATTTTTTTATTTCATTTTGTTTAATTTGATGGACTAAAATAGCTAAAACTAAAATAAAAACTATTTATAAATATTAAAAAGACCAATAAAAATGAAAAAAAAAAAAAACTTTGTAAAAATTTTACTAAAATTCTAATAAAATGGAAACGATAAAACCAATTCAAAATATTAATAAAATGGCAAATACTTCTAAAAATACTTCTTATAATAGCATTTATTAATCTTAGTTAATGTCAATTTCAGCATTTCTCAATACATTTTTAAAATCAAAAGTAGTTTCTTTTAAAGGTGACATTGGAGGCCCATTTCACACAAGTTGTCATGTTGCTTTTAGGGTATTTCTGAAATGTCTGTAACATCATCATGCCAGGATCGCTTCATTGGTCAAACGCGCTTTGCAATCTGTTTACAAAAAGGGGTGGGAAGAGGGCGGACTCCATATTTTGCTCTGAGGTGGTCATGTTCAAATACCTAGCTAGTTACGTCAAAACTGGCACCAAAGTGAAACATTTTTAAACTCGGATATTAACAAACTTGCTGAATGTTTTCTTTTCAGCTTTTCTGAGCTGGCAGACACAGCAGAAACCTAACTAAATGCAAAAAAAGCTACAAAAGTGAAAATTTCATCCGATGTCACTTTTAATATTTTTTAATGGATCTGAGCTGATATGAACTAACAATGAACAATTGTATTTTTGCGCAAAGAAAGAAGGCATAACTTTTATTCTCGCTGTAGTATTGTTGTTGCCGTCACACGCTTGAGGAATTCGGCCAATCACAAAGCACTGGATAGCTGGCCAATCACAGCACACCTCGCTTTTCAGACCGATGAGCTTTGTAAAAATCGACGCGTTTCAGAAAGGCGGGGCATAGAGGAGAAGCAATAATGTACACTGTGTGGAAAATAATGTGTTTTTTTAACCTTAAACCGCATAAACACATTTCATTACACCAAATACACAAAATAATGTTCTTTTTAGCAGCATCATATGACCCCTTAATAGTTCTTCTAACTCACCCTATCTACTGATCTTCAGTATACAAGATCCAACATGCCGTGTTCTCTCATAAGCTCTGGCTTGCTTACTCGCTATCATTCTTGGCATCTTGTGCAATTCCCACCGTTGTTGTTTCATATTGCATAATGTTTCATCACTGCAGTGTTTTGATTTCTTGCAGATGTGGAGGACAAACATCCAGTCGCAGTGACCGGGCAGGACAGAGTCGTTCAGCCCAAAGAAGATGTGGTTCTGAACGGCATTGAGAGCAAAGACGATAAAAAGATCGTAAAATATGAGTGGGAAAAGGTGTCTGGAGACCCATCAGCAGTTATGACGGTGGGCTCAGGTTCATTATTAGAATAAGAATTTCTGAAAAAACAAATTGTGCCTATGTATGACTGTTAAACTACCCTTTTAATTCCTTTTTTCTTTATTTGAAGCCTTTATGTATGATGCTTTATAAAGGTATTCATAATGTATATTATAATGCATCATATCTTTTCATAAATAGTTGTAATAAGTATAAAATAATAGTGATAAATATATTAAAAGTTAAATGTGCATTTTCCAGATTCCTTGCTACATGCATATGAATAATACTCTTTTTATATGAATTATGATGTGTAACAATGAAGCATTATAATATATTATAACTGTGTTATAATTATTCATGAGATCATACAATGTATTATAACAAGGCATAATTAATGCATTAAAAGACTTTAATAATGCATTATATAGAAAGGCTTCAAGTAAAGCATTACCGATATTGGTTGAGATTATGACTGTTAAACTACCCTTTTAATTCCTTTTTTCTTTATTTGAAGCCTTTATGTATGATGCTTTATAAAGGTATTCATAATGTATATTATAATGCATCATATCTTTTCATAAATAGTTGTAATAAGTATAAAATAATAGTGATAAATATATTAAAAGTTAAATGTGCATTTTCCAGATTCCTTGCTACATGCATATGAATAATAATCTTTTTATATGAATTATGATGTGTAACAATGAAGCATTATAATATATTATAACTGTGTTATAATTATTCATGAGATCATACAATGTATTATAACAAGGCATAATTAATGCATTAAAAGACTTTAATAATGCATTATATAGAAAGGCTTCAAGTAAAGCATTACCGATATTGGTTGAGATTTTTTTTTTCCATGCTTTTTTTTTAATGAATTATACTTTCTAAAGGTGTAACAAAGAATAGATAAGTATTTTAATATAATGAATGCATTACAAATAGAGCTGGAGATTTAACAGGTTAATTGGATTAATTATTAATGCATGTAACACACTTGCCCCGCCCCAGACCCTCATGGTCATCTGACATTTCATACAGCTGATTTATGACAAATATGATGCAGGGCAACAAACTCACTGCGTGATGGAGCCTAGAGAGCGTAGTTAGAATGTCCCTAAAATTCAAGATTTGGGGCAAAAATGCCCCCGTTTGAGTTTTTGACTCATATTTACATCATATAGTTAAGCAATATCACACAAGCAATAAGTGCAATATCACACGAGTGCAAATGTGATACGGATCTTATACAACAGTTCAGTAAGTAAGAAGTTAATGGTGTGTTATTTTAGACACAATGTTGTCTGTTTTGCTCAGTTTTGCCAATGAAAATATATGCAACACAGCTGCATTTCATTTCTTAATCCATGTTTGGAACGAATTGGGTGAAGCATTAGGCGCGTTGGATTTGAAGCAGTGCTGCACAGATCGATCGGTGTATGACATTAAAGTACCGCTCTCGCGGTACTTTGATAATAGAGACTCGAACTCACAACCTTTGGGTTATGAGTCCGACTCTCTAACCATTAGGTCAGAGAGTCGGACTCATAACCCAAAGGTTGATGTCACACACCGATCGATCTGATCGTGATGATCCGCTTCAAGTCGAACAAGCCTAATGATTCAATGGATCATTAATAAAGAACCATTTACTTCACTCCTGAATGAATCAGCTATTTGAACGAATCGAATGAATAAATGAATAAATGACTTACTCATAATGAATCAGCTATTTGAACGAATCGAATGAATAAATGACTCAATGACTTACTCATTAAGACATTTACTGCCATCTACTGACAGTTTTTAGTTTATTTAAAGTATCATTTCATTAAAGAAATTAATAAAAATTATTAAAGGTATAGTTCACCCACCCAAAAATGACAATTTTGTCATCATTTACTCACCCTCGTGGTCCAAAAGAGTATATGTAATATATTTTATGTTGAATCAAACTAAATATTTCTTGCTGGAGCTACTTTTTGTAATGTCTGTTTGATGCTTTACACAACAATGACTTTAAATTATCTTATGGGAGTAATTTCTCGCTTTTCAGACCGATGAGCTTTGTAAAAATCGACGCGTTTCAGAAAGGCGGGGCATAGAGGAGAAGCAATAATGTACACTGTGTGGAAAATAATGTGTTTTTTTAACCTTAAACCGCATAAACACATTTCATTACACCAAATACACAAAATAATGTTCTTTTTAGCAGCATCATATGACCCCTTAATAGTTCTTCTAACTCACCCTATCTACTGATCTTCAGTATACAAGATCCAACATGCCGTGTTCTCTCATAAGCTCTGGCTTGCTTACTCGCTATCATTCTTGGCATCTTGTGCAATTCCCACCGTTGTTGTTTCATATTGCATAATGTTTCATCACTGCAGTGTTTTGATTTCTTGCAGATGTGGAGGACAAACATCCAGTCGCAGTGACCGGGCAGGACAGAGTCGTTCAGCCCAAAGAAGATGTGGTTCTGAACGGCATTGAGAGCAAAGACGATAAAAAGATCGTAAAATATGAGTGGGAAAAGGTGTCTGGAGACCCATCAGCAGTTATGACGGTGGGCTCAGGTTCATTATTAGAATAAGAATTTCTGAAAAAACAAATTGTGCCTATGTATGACTGTTAAACTACCCTTTTAATTCCTTTTTTCTTTATTTGAAGCCTTTATGTATGATGCTTTATAAAGGTATTCATAATGTATATTATAATGCATCATATCTTTTCATAAATAGTTGTAATAAGTATAAAATAATAGTGATAAATATATTAAAAGTTAAATGTGCATTTTCCAGATTCCTTGCTACATGCATATGAATAATACTCTTTTTATATGAATTATGATGTGTAACAATGAAGCATTATAATATATTATAACTGTGTTATAATTATTCATGAGATCATACAATGTATTATAACAAGGCATAATTAATGCATTAAAAGACTTTAATAATGCATTATATAGAAAGGCTTCAAGTAAAGCATTACCGATATTGGTTGAGATTTTTTTTTTTCCATGCTTTTTTTTTAATGAATTATACTTTCTAAAGGTGTAACAAAGAATAGATAAGTATTTTAATATAATGAATGCATTACAAATAGAGCTGGAGATTTAACAGGTTAATTGGATTAATTATTAATGCATGTAACACACTTGCCCCGCCCCAGACCCTCATGGTCATCTGACATTTCATACAGCTGATTTATGACAAATATGATGCAGGGCAACAAACTCACTGCGTGATGGAGCCTAGAGAGCGTAGTTAGAATGTCCCTAAAATTCAAGATTTGGGGCAAAAATGCCCCCGTTTGAGTTTTTGACTCATATTTACATCATATAGTTAAGCAATATCACACAAGCAATAAGTGCAATATCACACGAGTGCAAATGTGATACGGATCTTATACAACAGTTCAGTAAGTAAGAAGTTAATGGTGTGTTATTTTAGACACAATGTTGTCTGTTTTGCTCAGTTTTGCCAATGAAAATATATGCAACACAGCTGCATTTCATTTCTTAATCCATGTTTGGAACGAATTGGGTGAAGCATTAGGCGCGTTGGATTTGAAGCAGTGCTGCACAGATCGATCGGTGTATGACATTAAAGTACCGCTCTCGCGGTACTTTGATAATAGTGACGTGACGTGGCCAAGTATGGTTACCCATACTAGGAATTAGTGCTCTGCATTTATCCCATCCTAAGTGCACACACACACACACACACAGCAGTGAACACACACCCGGAGCAGTGGGCAGCCATTTATGCTGTGGCACCCGGGGAGCAGTTGGGGGTTCGGTGCCTTGCTCAAGGGCACCTCAGTCGTGGTATTGAAGGTGGACGAGAGCGCTGGACATTCACTCCCCCCACCTACACTCCCTGCCGGTACGAGACTCGAACTCACAACCTTTGGGTTATGAGTCCGACTCTCTAACCATTAGGTCAGAGAGTCGGACTCATAACCCAAAGGTTGATGTCACACACCGATCGATCTGATCGTGATGATCCGCTTCAAGTCGAACAAGCCTAATGATTCAATGGATCATTAATAAAGAACCATTTACTTCACTCCTGAATGAATCAGCTATTTGAACGAATCGAATGAATAAATGACTCAATGACTTACTCATTAAGACATTTACTGCCATCTACTGACAGTTTTTAGTTTATTTAAAGTATCATTTCATTAAAGAAATTAATAAAAATTATTAAAGGTATAGTTCACCCACCCAAAAATGACAATTTTGTCATCATTTACTCACCCTCGTGGTCCAAAAGAGTATATGTAATATATTTTATGTTGAATCAAACTAAATATTTCTTGCTGGAGCTACTTTTTGTAATGTCTGTTTGATGCTTTACACAACAATGACTTTAAATTATCTTATGGGAGTAATTTCCCAGCCAAATTTGATGTGCGATAAATTAGATTAATTAATCGCCTCGTCATGTAATTAATTCGATTAAAAAATGTATTCGCTTACTAGCCCTAATTAAAATACTTTACTAATGTGTTATATATATATATATATATAAAGGCTTCTTCGTGCTTTTTGAAGAATTCTACTTCTATAATTGTAACAAAGAATAGATAAGTAATTATAATGTAAGTGTGGATCAAATAATTGTTAAATAATTATTCATGAGTTCATACTGTGTATTATTATAAAGTTATGGTTATCATAATAGCTCATACAATGCATTAAAAGGTGCATTACAGGGCATAATTAATGCAATAAAAATAATCTATGATGCATTGTATGCATAGGCTTCAAGCAAAGTGTTACCGAAATTTCTTTAATGTACAATATACATTTTAATAATTTTTTTTTGTCAGGAAGGGCCGTTTGAGGATTCAGTGACAGTCTCCAATCTTTCTCCGGGGATGTATAAGTTCAGACTCACGGTCACAGATGCCGCTGATCAGACCGGATCGGCCGAGGTGTCTATTTTGGTCCTGACGCCAGAACAGTCACTCCGTGAGTACTGTACATGAAAACACATGTTGTGTGTTTACTTCATTTGTTTATTCATTTTTTTTAACCCTTCTGCTGTGCTGAAAATCCTTTATGCAATTTGGTGTTCCTGGTCAAAAATGACCGGCCTTTTAAAAATTTGGTATATGTGACCCTGGAGCACAAAAGCAGTGTTAAGTCGCTGGGGTATATTTGTAGCAATAGCCAACAATACATTGTATGGGTCAAAATTATAGATTTTTCTTTTATGCCAAAATCATTAGGATATTAAGTAAAGATCATGTTCCATGAAGATATTTAGTAAATATATTCAAATTTAATTATTTTTGATTAGTAATATGCATTGCTAAGAACTTAATTTGGACAACTTTAAAGATGATTTTCTCAATATTTAGATTTTTTTTGCACCCTCAGATTCCAGATTTTCTAATAGTTGTATCTCGGCCAAATATTGTCCGATCCTAACAAACCATACATCAATGGAAAGCTTATTATTCAGATTCGTTCAAATGGCTGATTCATTCAGGAGTGAAGTAAATGGTTCTTTATTAATGATCCATTGAATCATTAGGCTTGTTCGACTTGAAGCGGATCATCACGATCAGATCGATCGGTGTGTGACATCAACCTTTGGGTTATGAGTCCGACTCTCTAACCATTAGGTCAGAGAGTCGGACTCATAACCCAAAGGTTGATGTCACACACCGATCGATCTGATCGTGATGATCCGCTTCAAGTCGAACAAGCCTAATGATTCAATGGATCATTAATAAAGAACCATTTACTTCACTCCTGAATGAATCAGCTATTTGAACGAATCGAATGAATAAATGACTCAATGACTTACTCATTAAGACATTTACTGCCATCTACTGACAGTTTTTAGTTTATTTAAAGTATCATTTCATTAAAGAAATTAATAAAAATTATTAAAGGTATAGTTCACCCACCCAAAAATGACAATTTTGTCATCATTTACTCACCCTCGTGGTCCAAAAGAGTATATGTAATATATTTTATGTTGAATCAAACTAAATATTTCTTGCTGGAGCTACTTTTTGTAATGTCTGTTTGATGCTTTACACAACAATGACTTTAAATTATCTTATGGGAGTAATTTCCCAGCCAAATTTGATGTGCGATAAATTAGATTAATTAATTGCCTCGTCATGTAATTAATTCGATTAAAAAATTTATTCGCTTACTAGCCCTAATTAAAATACTTTACTAATGTGTTATATATATATATATATAAAGGCTTCTTCGTGCTTTTTGAAGAATTATACTTCTATAAGTGTAACAAAGAATAGATAAGTAATTATAATGTAAGTGTGGATCAAATAATTGTTAAATAATTATTCATGAGTTCATACTGTGTATTATTATAAAGTTATGGTTATCATAATAGCTCATACAATGCATTAAAAGGTGCATTACAGGGCATAATTAATGCAATAAAAATAATCTATGATGCATTGTATGCATAGGCTTCAAGCAAAGTGTTACCGAAATTTCTTTAATGTACAATATACATTTTAATAATTTTTTTTGTCAGGAAGGGCCGTTTGAGGATTCAGTGACAGTCTCCAATCTTTCTCCGGGGATGTATAAGTTCAGACTCACGGTCACAGATGCCGCTGATCAGACCGGATCGGCCGAGGTGTCTATTTTGGTCCTGACGCCAGAACAGTCACTCCGTGAGTACTGTACATGAAAACACATGTTGTGTGTTTACTTCATTTGTTTATTCATTTTTTTTAACCCTTCTGCTGTGCTGAAAATCCTTTATGCAATTTGGTGTTCCTGGTCAAAAATGACCGGCCTTTTAAAAATTGCTTGTAAATCTCTTATTTTGGTATATGTGACCCTGGAGCACAAAAGCAGTGTTAAGTCGCTGGGGTATATTTGTAGCAATAGCCAACAATACATTGTATGGGTCAAAATTATTGATTTTTCTTTTATGCCAAAATCATTAGGATATTAAGTAAAGATCATGTTCCATGAAGATATTTAGTAAATATATTCAAATTTAATTATTTTTGATTAGTAATATGCATTGCTAAGAACTTAATTTGGACAACTTTAAAGATGATTTTCTCAATATTTAGATTTTTTTGCACCCTCAGATTCCAGATTTTCTAATAGTTGTATCTCGGCCAAATATTGTCCGATCCTAACAAACCATACATCAATGGAAAGCTTATTATTCAGCTTTCAGATGATGCATAAATCTCAATTTCAAAAAATTTACTCTTAAGTCTTGTTTTGTGGTCTAGGGTCACATATTATCGCCAAATTTAGGATTTCATATTTTTATCATCTAAAACTGCCAGTAGGTGGCGTTTCTTTCAATTTGCACAGGTTTTGTATTTCTTTTTGGAACTGACTGATTGTAGGCCTCATTAAACTGAGTTTTTCAGTCAGTATTGCCAAAATTATCAACTCAAAAACAGATGTACATAAGTTAATGTTCATTCCCGTATGTGTCGTTATGATATTAAAAGCAACAGCTTTCGTTAAAGTAGTAGGTCATTGCTGTCATGTTCTCTGATAAGTGTTTCTCAGTCATTTAATCTGATTTATCATAATGAAATTCACATGCACTGTTGACCTGAGATGAGTTCTGGTCCAACAGGTTTTGAAGCGACCTTAAAAATACACGGATTAACCATTTACCAGGATTTGTCAGACTTTAATGCATAAATGGTTTTATTCTGTTAACCCAGTATGTGCTTTTCTGTTTTCTAAAAATTTTATTTTTCCCTCATATTTCATATTAAAAGGAGCTTCAGCTAATTTCAGCTTTGCTTGGTCGAAACTGTCAAATTAGCAGTTTAATGATTTATTTTCAATGGAAATGATTCAGTTGTAGTTTAGTGACCGATTGCCTGATGTTTCCTGGTTTTAGTAGAAACCGGAAACCCCTTGAGCTGCGAGAGGCCATTTTCTTGAGTGTTTCACAAACTGGAGCGGCAGGTTTTGCGGTGGGAGTTTCACAGAGAATGAGGTTGTTCTAGTCATTGAGCGTTTGTGAAACCGCTCTGATCTGGTCTAGCTGCCAAATGTAAATCTAAAATCCATATGAGATAAGACAAATTCTATTACTTTTAATGCTGAACAGATATTTACATGGCTTTGTATTCATTTGAATTAATCATGTTGCATTTGCATTATTTATAGTGTTTGGTTTTGCTGCCTTTGAGTTCAAAGCGCAGTGTTTGTCTCATCATTGATGGTGAGAAAATATTGTGAAGAAGCTCATTAAATATGAATACATGTTTTTCCAAGACTTAAATGCATGTTTATCAGCAGCATCTGTAACATGCAGACAGAAAACAAACACACATACAATGCATACAGAACTAAACGTACAATACAAGTTTTTTTTCATTTGTACGTTCTAAGGAACGAGATGTTAGTTACTGTGGTAAATCAACCGCATGTTCGTGTTTTGTCTTGTGTTGTGTAATGCAAGTGATAGTTTCAGTTTTCTGTTCGAATGAGCATTCATATTTCACATAGTTCATGTGTTCATACACACGATTATGTAAATGAGCAGTATAGTATGGGAATCGACTATAAAATACATTCAGGAATGCCGTTCGTGCCCTAACAACACATGCATTATTTTAATAAATTGACATTATATTTGTATTTGCTTGCTCTTTCACAGCGTCACTGTTATTGAGTCATAAATCAAGACTTAACCCTATCTTGACAGTGTATTGTTCAAGTAATGAAGCTTTCATTTGAGTTCCCATAAAAATAAATGCATTGATATGACATTCGATACTGACATTAATTGCACTGATGCTCTAATGTTATTGTCATGTGTTTTGCACATTGTCTCTTAAATTAACTTTACCACAGAGGCTCGCAAAACTTAATTGCATTTTCTCATGCAATTTGTCATGGCATGCTATATAGAAGCAGCAGCACAAACACGTGCTGATGTGCATTGACAAAGCGTTACTTCAGAATACTTTAAATATAGTATTGCATGCAAATTATATCATACTTTTGGTGTTTTCTGTCTGTCTGGAAGAATAAATAAAATGTTCCGTCAAGCTGCAAGCATAACATTTGTTATCTTACACATTTTATCTCCCCAACAGATTCATTTGAAGTAAGTTTATGATGCATGTTCGCTATTCCCAATTCAGAATCCAATTTATACTCGCACCCGGCTCCGCAAGTCTCCACGAGCGCATCTGGCAGTATGGATGAGGCTTGACGCACGCGCGCAACCTGTGTTGACTCACGCCTGGCTCCGTGTTTAAAACGAATGTAAATTCAGTCTAACTGCTTGCTAATTTCACTTGGATGAAACAAAACATTCAGCACATTTTCCACTTGTTCTTAAAATCCCAAATACTTAAAATGAATAAACCAGCCTATGTAACATATGTAATATTTTAATAATTGACTTAAGAAATACAGTTCTTTATTTATAAACAAATAAACAAATATTTTCTGTGAAATTATTAAAATATTACATATAAATAGTTCTTTATTTATAAAAAATAAACCAATATTTTCTAATTCAGTAATTAAATTAATTCTGTAAAAGTAGTTATACCATTATAATTTTGCCTGCTGAAAAAAAAAAACATTAGAACCCCTCCCAAAACACAATAACAAATGTAATGGATTTGAGGGTTATGATGGGAATTGTTTGGTTTTAATGTGAACTATAATGGTGTTAAAAAAAACATTAGAACCCCTCCCAAAACACAATAACAAATGTAATGGATTTGAGGGTTATAATGGGAATTGTATTGGTTTTAAACTATAATGGTGTTTATTTGATGGATTCTATTGGTGGGATGTAATCTGGCAGATGGCAACCAATAGAACAACAGTAATTCCTATTGGAATAATGCCCAAAACAAAAAGGAATTTTGTAATGGTTTAATGGAAACTATAATAATTTCTGTGATGGTTTCTATTGCTTTTTTCAGCAGGGTAATGATACCCATACTGTGCTGCACATTATTGGCAATATTGAGCTGAAGCTTGACTTTGCAAATTTAATATTTTGCAATTTGATATTTTCCCCCAAATCGCACAGCCCCAACTAAAATGGCTGTTTTTCTTCCCATCAGATCACTGTCTGGTGCCGAAGAAGGAGGGTCCGTGTCGAGGCTCTTTCCCACGCTGGCACTACAACGCCGTCACAGAGAAATGTGAGCAGTTCAAGTTTGGAGGCTGCAAACCAAACCGCAACAACTACCTGGCGCTCAACGAATGCCTGAACGCTTGCGACAAAGTTTCAGGTATTGAGCTTTTTATGGTCATGTTATAAGTGCATGCCAGTTAATTACAGATAAAACTGTCATAGTACAAAGAAACTAGTTGAAAGTCTAATTCAATTAAGTAAGTATACTGCACAATGGTTGTTATTGTGCAAATTGTGTATAAAAGTGTTCATTTATTTATTTAATGAAACATATATTAGATATCTAATGCAAAATAGCTTTTGCAAGTAAATATTGTAAAACTAAACATGTTTGTCTTATTAAAATGTAACTCTATTCCAACCTAAATACTTTTACATGCATTCATTTAGCAGACGCTTTCATCCAAATAAATATATCATACATTTATTTAAATCGTTGACATTTGGGTTTACCAGTCATGAAAAATTATATAATAATATATATTAAAATTATATATTATTATATATTCTGCAAGTAAAACTTGTTTGCTAATTAAATTAAAGGTAATGCAAGTGTAATGCCATTATTGTGCAAAATGTGTATATAAAAAAGTGTTTATTTAAACAAGCATGAAACGTGTAATACTATAGGCATGTAATACAAAATAACTTTTACCTTACCTTTTATAGCTTTATGATATACTTATTGTGACTTTTTCCCATGTAAATATTGTCTTTATTAAAGCATAACCCTAGTTTGACCTAAATGCATTTACTCATTTAGCAGACTCTTTTGTCAGAAGCAAATGAGGACAAGCGATTTATTATTATGTATTTAAATGTTTGACGTTTAGGTTTACCAGTCATGAGGCTTTGGGGTTTTTATTCTGGTTCTCGCAAAATAAACCAGACGATGGTCAAACTGAATTGTGTTAGATATTTTAGGCTGTTTCTTCTTATGAAACTGCATTAAAAACATGCATTGCCTGTTAAATTGAACATAAACTGAAACGAACAAAGCAGAGGTGTCATCAGTGATGCTTTCAGAGCAGCTCGTTCAGAAATCCCTGAATTATTTATCAAGTCTGCCTGTGCATGCTTTTTAGAAATAATTTACACTTTATTTGATATTTCATTTGCCTAATTTTATTACACTAACACATTTTTAAGAGTGACTTTTCAAAAATGATTTCAGGTGCTGCTGTTTTACATTAAATATTTTCTTATTGCAGCTTCTGCTAAGCCACCGTCTGGAAGATTAGGTCCGATCCACGATCATCGTAAGTCAATAATTGCTGATGATTCCCTTTCGAGGGAACTTCGAACTGCGTCCTCTAGAGGTCGCTATAAGGAAACGCTATAAGGCTTCTCAGGGAACCATGGTTACATACGTAACCTGAGACGTTCCCTTTCGAGGGAACTTCGAACAGCATCCTCTAGTTTCCTTATAGCGACCTCTAGAAGACGCAGTGTCTCGTTCCCTTCTCAGGGAACCATGGTTACATACGTAACCGGAGACGTTCCCTTTGAATTAGTGTGTAGAATATTCATGTAGGCATTGACAAGTGAAATCCTCTTTCAAACACACACAGGTGAGCAGTGTGACGCGGCTTGTGGTCCAGATCATTTCTCATGTTCAAGTAAATGCTGCATCGAGAAAGAGTTGGAGTGTGACGGGGAACCGCAGTGCAGCGACGGTTCGGACGAGGCTGAATGCTCCAAACGTAAAAACATGATACATACACATTACCTTAGTAGTTAACCTCTTAAGTGCCACTGGCCCACCGGTGGGCCCGTTGGCGCTCTTTTTCTCATTGTATTTTTTTCTCTGTCACATATCTTAGTAATAATCATAAATTGAAATATCATTTGAAAGCTTAAAACCTCAAAATTCATCCTGTGAAAACCATTTTGAAATCAGACATTGTGTTACCATGGAAATGGTACTTTAAAATCTTTTGGCGGTCTCCTCCCCCTTAGTGGGTGGAGTCAGGTGTCATATTACAAAATGTATTATGGTCTTTTAGAATCAAAACTTTTTATAATCTTGACAAAATACATATCATCGGAAAGGTCTGAGTCTCAAAATTCTATTTTGTGATAGAAGTAATACTGACAGAGATATTTAGACATTTGTGACAGAAAAATGCATTTACAAAAATTCAGTGGAGTTTTGATGGCACCCGGTGGCTGTTTGTGGTATAACGCCCTAAATAAAATCTCTCAGGAACCTAATTTTTTTATATCAACTTCAAATTTGGAACATATTTAGACATAAGGCTTTAATTTTATAGCAATTTTGGATTCAAAAATATTTGGAAAAATATTTATTTTATATAAAATAAAATAAAAATGGTACAGTGCATTTTCGTTACAGTCAATTTTAACTTTTTTTTTAACTTTTTGATACTTTAATATTTTGAAATGATTCTACTTCTGTAATAATCTGCAGATTGTCTTTTTTAAAAAGACTCCAACCTTAGGTCTGTATTCCAAAGCGTTCATGAATTATAACAATTTAAGTTTGAATAGTGCACTTTCACATCTATATTCAAAAATGGGGGGTGGCACTTAAAGGGTTAAAGGAATAGTTCACTCAAAAATAAACATTCTGACATCATTTACTCGCACCTGTATGACTTGTATGTCTGCTGAAATGCCAAGTTATCTGAAGTCATACTAGAGCTTTGTTTTTTGTTATTGAGTTGTTATTCACCGAAAAGCTAGCTTTTGACATGGGAAGACTTCAAATAAAGTGCATCGAGTCATATACGTAATGCTTTTATGCTGCTTTATTGTCACTTTTGATCTCCAAAGTGTCTTTCTGCTTTCATTTAGTAAAGAACATACAGGATTGAGCCTAAGGGAGTAAATGATGACAGAATTATTTTTATGTAATTTTTTTATTTTATGAACTGTCCCTTTAAATGTACTTTATTTAGGGATTGAAATAAGGTTCAGGCTCATTTATATTAGTTTTATGTGTGATTGAATTGATTCATTTAAGTTTTTCTTGTTTTTCTGTTCAGTGGACAGCAAGTTCCGTCGATTGCTGGATATTCCTGTGGACAAAAGCAAAGGTGATTCATATTTCATATTTTTAACTTGAAACTTTAAATATATCTCGCTAAGTATTTATTGATTAGAATTTTATCTTGAAAAGGTCATCGCTGTATTTCTTTTTTTTTTTTTTATATGCAAACCTGAAATATATATTGTTGGAAGTATTTTTATTTTGTTGAAAAATTAATCACTGTTCATCACTTCAATAATTATATTTAATTGTTGGTTATTAAATATGAAAACATAAAAAAAAAAATTGTTTATTTTTTATTATAAAAAAACTCATTTGTATTTCATTTGCATTTTACTTTCTGTTATGATATATGCAAACTTTAAACATATTTTTAAGAATTTATTGATTATAACTTTACCTTTAAAAACTCATCACTGAATTATTTTATATTTATTCTTATGATATATGCAAACCTAAAATACATATTTTTAAATGATCTTCAATAATCTTGAAAAACTGATTACTGTATTTCATTTTGTTATATGCCATTTATATATCATTAAAAATTATAATTTTATCTTGAAAAGCCATTACTGCATTTCATTTATATTTCATTTTCTGTCATTATTTATGCACACCTAAACCTTTTTAAACATGTACTGATTATAATTTTATCTTGAAAATCTTGTTCACTGCATTGTGTTTTTTAAAAAGTTACAAAAGTTGTATTTGCATATTCACAGTTTGTGTAAATTAAAATCTAGAATACAATTAGGAAATGTTAAAAATATTTTATTCATCATATGTTATTGTTTTATTTTTGTGAAATTATAATTTTGTCTTGAAGATGGATTGAGTTGGGCAGGTCATTCCACCAGGAGGGAACATTTAATTTAAAAGTCTGTGAAATATATATAATATATTATTAATATGTGACCCTGGAGCACAAAACCAGTCTTAAAGGGTTAGTTCACCCAAAAATGAAAATTAGCCCATAAATTACTCACCCTCAAGTCATCCTAGGTGTATATGACTTTCTTCTTTCAGACGAATCCAGTCGGAGTTATATTAAAAATTGTCTTTGATCTTTGAAGCTGTTTAATGGCGCTTAGCGGGTGTTGCATGCATCAGTCCAAAAGAAGTGAAATAAAGTGTGCCCATCCATAAAAAAAAAAACCCATCTCTCACGGCTCCGGGAGGTGAACAAAGGCCTTCTGTAGCAAATCCATGCGTTTTTGTAAGAAAAATATCCATATTCAAAGCGTAATAATCAATTTAAAGGGATGGTTGACTGTTTTTTTTCTAGGCTTGGTTGTGTTTATGGGGTGCAGTCTAACATGTGCTTCGTTTTTAAAAATAACGCATTATTTTTCACATAATTTACCTTTATTCCACACCGATCTGTCCCTTCTCTGACAAACGACTCAATTATTTCCTGTTTTTATGAAGCCCCTCCCTCAGAAATACGAGATGGGCTGAGATTGGTCAACTGGCTCAGTGTGTTGTGATTGGCTAAACCGCCTCTAGTGCGCGTCTGAACATCCCGCCCCTCAAGCTCAGAATGTGCTCCGGTTGTGTTGTAAACAATGACGTCCTCTATATCGCTTATCAATTTGAGCCCGATTGAGACGCAGAGAATATTAATGAAGAGGATCGCGCAGAACCTGTGCAAGCACGGCTCTTAATGGTATGTTTGTTTGTTGTTGTCTCATACTTTTAGATACGCTGTTGTTTGTAAATACTACTGCTTCTGTTAGCTTTTAACATACGGTTTTATTCTGATTAGAGCTTTAATACAGCACCGCAACCGTATGCACGTCCATGTATAACGCTTCTCATAGCTATGTGAAAATAAGTGTATAAATGGAACAGTTTGTTGGAGCTGATCTGAATGAGAGAGAGATAGAGAGAGCGAGAGTAATGCAGAGCATGGCGATGCGAGGAACAGGATGAGAACCGCTGCTTTAGAACATTAGTTTTGAAACTTGTGAATCCATTCGAATCGTTAGAAGACAGAATCGCGATTCATATATGAACAGATTTTTACGTGCACCCCTAGTTTTCTCTTCCTCTTCTCTAAAGCAGTGCATGCCTCGCCCCCTTTGCTGCGTGTTCCCGAGGGCAGGGTTTATCTGGGTTTGTGACGTAACGGCCCCGGGAAGTAACTCGTTGTAGTCCCTACCAGCCGTTTTTAGTTGGCATTAAACTGCCAGAATTTTAAAAGACAATATCTCCGTTTGCATTGAACTTTCAGCGCTGCAACTTTGCAGATATTGTTTATGCTCAAACAGCAACATTACACACTATCTAACGTTAAAAAAGAGAAATCGCATTCAACCACCCCTTTAATCTAGCTTGCAGCTCACTGTTGTACACAGAAGCAGTTCTGGGAGCATGATGTATGAGGTCAGCTTTGCGCATTTGCGCCTTTATTCAGCCCCCGGAGCCGTGTGAGACACTTTTTTTTTTTTTTATGGATGGGCACATTTTATTTCACTTCTTTTGGACTGATGCATGCAACACCTGCTGAGTGGCATTAAACAGCTTGAAAGATCAAAGACTATTTTTAATATAACTCCGACTGGATTCGTCTGAAAGAAGAATGTCATATACACCTAGGATGACTTGAGGGTGAGTAATTTATGGGCTAATTTTCATTTTTGGGTGAACTAACCCTTTAAGTCCCTGGGGGATATTTGTAGCAGTAGCCGAAAATACATTGTATGGGTCAAAATTGATTTTTTCATTTATGCCAAAAATCATTAGGATATTAAGTAAAGATCATGTTCCATGAAGATGTTTTGTAAATGTCCTACCGTAAATATATCAAAACTTAATGTTTGATTAGTAATATTCATTGCTAAGAATTTCATTTGAACAACTTTAAAAATTATTTTCTCAATATTTGGATTTTTTTGCACCCTCAGATTCCAGATTTTCAAATAGTTGTATCTCAGCCAAATATTGTCCTATCATAAACCATACATCAATGGAAAGCTATTTATTCAGCTTTCAGATGATGCATAAATCTCAATTTCAAGAAATTGACCCTTATGACTGGTTTTGTGCTCCAGGGTCACATATGATTATAATATATATATATAATACATTAATTATTATGATTACAGTTTTTCATTTAGTAACTAAAAATGTTTTATAGTTTTAGTTCATAATAATAATAATAACCCCGCTCTGGCTTGTGTAATAACGTTTTATTTAAATGTAATTTCTGTGTCCTTAAACTAAATTTCCTTGGGAAAAAATCTTCAGTAGATCTTTGCGTTGCTTTATAGTACCTTTGTTTGGCTCTGCTGATATATCCAGATGCATTGACGTAACGTGACTGTTGTGTCTCTGTTCAGCTGCCATCGTGATCGCCATCATCCTGGGCTTGGCCATCGCCGTCCTGCTGGTGGTTATCTTATGTTGCCTCCTGAAGGGAAAGAAGAAGCACAGAAACAAACATCAGCACGTGGCCGTTAACGGCGGTCACGTTCACAGCTACGAGGATTCAGAGAAACTCGTCTACAACAGCACAACCAAACCCATCTGAGCATTAACTCCGTTTAACAGGACATCTATTCTTACTGCTGGAGCGTGACGTGAAAAATTAATTTGTATATGCAATAATTATTTGATTTCTTCACTTGTTTTGAGTAGACGGGATGGAAACTGTGCAGAAAGTTCGTTTGATTTGCTTGTTTTGAGTTTAAAACAACTTTTATTACCAGCTGCTTTTTTTTTTTAACTTTTCTTATTTCTGTTCTTTGCTTTATATATTAGCTTGTTGGATTTTGCTCAGGGGTGAATGTGTTGCAATAGCGTATAATAAAGCCAGTTTTATGACCACAAAAAATTAAATCAAGATTCTTGAGCCATGTGCTTCAATTTTGCAATACAGCTGGGCGAAGACTGGAGTGTTTTTTGTTTTTATTTGAAATGCTGCCTCTCATCAGTTAATTTTAAAGCCATGTAAACATTGCAATACTATCTAGAAATTAGTTTTATATTTTAGTTTGAGATATGATATATTGATTAATGGCTCTTTGTCGTGTAAACTCTTGTTTTGTTACATTACGTTAGCTACATTAGGAGTTTTATTTTCTTTCTTTTTTTATTACTATATATTGTTTCTGTTTAGTAAACTGATGTTTTGGATTCAGAAATGACATTTGTGGTGAAAAATCCTACCCACACGCTGCAAATTTGTACATAGACTTTTTTTTTTTAATATGTATCAAAAACTTGCCTGATGTGTAAACTATTAATCATAGACAGTCTCAATAAAACGAAAGTGTACAGACTGTGTGTGTGTGTGTGTGTGAGAGAGAGAGAGAGAGTGTGAGAGAGAGAGGGAGAGTGTGTGAGAGAGGAAGAGTGTGTGTGTGTGAGAGAGAGGGAGAGTGTGTGTGAGAGTGAGAGAGAGAGAGTGTGTGTGTGTGTGTGAGAGAGAGAGTGTGTGTGTGTGTGTGTGTGTGTTTGTGATGATTTGATTTGATTTTAGAAACGTGTTATTATTAGACCCGCAGATGGCGCCATTGATTCAAAATTAAAGTCCACACAATTTGTGCTCTTCAGTGAGAAGACTAGTGTTAATAATGAAAAGTGTGGGTTTAAATGTATAGTTTAGTTAGGTTAGCAACAACAGCTTTTTAAAAGATTTACTCAGTTTGAGAAAGTCTTCATCACCCTCCACACAGTCTCAGGACGGCATTAAACACGACGTACACTCAAATAAAAACATTACACTTTTTCTTAGAAGTTAAAAACTGCGTTGAGAAAACTTCCAAAGAGATTTAAAGTGTTAATGTTCTCCTCGTGCTTTGTTTTAAGAAAAATCTACGATGTGAAAGAAAACATTTAAAGTTTGTCAATTCGAAGGGCATGCACTTAATGACAACATTTTATATTTTTGTTTTTATACGTTTAGAACATAATTATTTAAATAAACATATTTAAGAAACTTTTACGAATGCAAATATCTAGAACTGTATTAAAGACTGTCGCTGCGTTCCAATGTGCCACCTTATTAACTGCCCTAAATAGTATTGATAATTACTAATTAGTAGAATTTAGGATGGCTTGAGACGCAGGCTGTGATTGGTCCATCCTGACATACGCACGGTGTGTTTATGCATTGACTTAAAACCGCGAGGTGAACGTTACAAAATTGAAACATTTTTGTTTCGAGGTTTGCAACAAGTTTGCGTCGCTAAGCCCCGCCCACCTGGAGTCCCTCGCCCCCACTGCTGTGAGTTCAGACTGAAGAGATGATCTGAGTCTCTCGGACCTGCAGCCGGGGGAAATAATACACGCATACATGTCTGTGAGGTGCGAATGAACTGCAGACGCCTTAAATAACACCGAGGAAGTCAGTCGGTAAGTGTTTAAGTCTTCATTTAAAGACGCGTAAACGATTAAAGTAGCGTTACTGGAAAGCTAGATCAAAATAACCACACGGTTAAAGCTGTTAGATGTGTTTTCTTACACAGACACAAGTTTGCGTGTCTTGTTTTGTTGAAAAGATCTTGCTGGAAGTTTGTAGACGCATGGTGTTATTAATGAGTCCAGTGTTGGGGAAAGCTACTTTTAAAAGTGAAGCGTTACAATGTTGCGTTACTCCATAAAAAAAGTAACTAATTACGTTACGTAGTTACTTTTTATGGAAAGTAATGCGTTGCGTTACTTTTGCGTTACTGTTTAAATCTGGACAGGGCTTGCTTGTTTGTTTTTAAAATAAAAAAGTTATATTTTTTGGCAAATATAAAAGCTTTTTCACACCAAAAGTGAAATGAATAAGCCTCAGGCTGAAGGGAAAGTACAGAAGAAATTTCAACACACTTCAGCAATAAACAAAGACACACAAATGTTTGTCTAGAGTAATTTGTGCTTATTAGTACGCTTGAACTGCATCATCGAAGCTCAGAAGCAAATCGAATGGGATTAAATACATAAAGGATATTTGTGGTGTTTAACATTTAATTATTGCAGGTTTGCGTCATATTCTGAGTTGCATTATTTTTATTCATTTTGAGGAATACTGAATTTGTGTGTTTTTTTGTGAGTGAGATGAATTAATGCATATTCATATTTATTTTAGAGCTACAGTAACATCTTCTGATTTCTCTCAGCATGAGGACAGGAGAGCTGTCAGTCAATAAATTGAAAAAAAAAGTAACTTGCGTTACTTATTTGAAAAAGTAACTCCGATATTCTCTTGTAAATTAAAAAGTAATGCGTTACTTTACTAGTTACTTGAAAAAAGTAATCTGATTACGTAACTCGCGTTACTTGTAATATATTACCCCCAACACTCTTAAAGACATTTACGTTTTTATTAGCTAAAATGTTTCAGAAGCAGGCTAGAAAAGCATGCTACAGTGACCTTTAGTGAATGATATCAAGATACAGATAGGCTAATCAGAACTCATTTCTTGTAAAACATCTTTAAAACTTCAAAACATTTCAGTGAAAATTCTGAAATTGGTGTTAATTGTCTACTTGTTTCTTTGCTTTGCTGCTTTAACCGTTCCTTTGCATTCTTCTAAATAAAGGCTAATCGCTTTAGTATAAAAATAAACATTTTTGGCTTGAGTTGCAGCATGGATGAAAAGTTCATACGTTTTTCAGATCCATCTTTAGTTTTGGTTTCTTGGTTCTTTAAAGCAGATGGTTTTCTGAAGCAAACCCTCTCTGTTAAGCTTGCATTTAAAAGCGCATGCATGCAGATATAAACTGATATTTTTTGGTCTGTGGATGTTCTGCATTCATCAGTAGTTTCTTTTTTCTCCAGTTGCATTCATCTGAAGGTCTCGCATGAAAACTGACGTACTGCAAGTGTCTCAGATGAAGTCTGTGTGTTTGTCTACTGCGCCTGCACTTTGTTCTGGTTTGGACTTATAGCGCTTTGATTAACAAATGATGAGGTGTTGATTTAGTGCAACAATTGTACATCTTATCTGTTGTATATCCTCCTGACTACCAGGAAAAAATAGTTTTGTGAATTTAGTATTTTGTCATGCCATTACATTGTTTAGAGCATAAGAAAAATTTAGAAAAATGATATTTTTATTCATATATGCCTCTGTAGAGGACATCAGGACTTTAAAAAGTCCTGTTTTTAAAAGACATGAAAAGGCAAAAAGAGTGGGATTTTTGTTTTAACCAGAAATCAATTTTAATTTTTTTTATACCAAACTTTATATAAAGATGATTCTCAACTATGTTATGAAAGATATTTTTTAAAAACTTTTTTTTTAATGCAAAGAAATTATATTCTATTTAGGCCGTAAACGAGTTTTTCCATTATACACAATGTATCTACAAACTAATTTGCATATTAATGTGTTTTTGGGGCAACATGGAATGAACAAATAAGTGCAATAATGGGAGTAATAATTAGCAAGATTTTCATAATAATATCTAATATTTAATAGGAGTATTGATATATAATTTTTTCTCTATTAATTTGTTGTGTCTCCCAAAATGTGTAATAAACATGCTTTAAGTCCTGGTGTCCTCTACAGTGGACATGTATGAGATCAATGTCCTGTTTTATAACAGAAGGTCATATTTTGATTTGAAAACCCATAACATTTTCCTGAGATGTTGATTCATGACACACAATTTGTCAATTAGTCAGATTTAAATGATAATTACAAAATAGTATCATATTTCCATAAGGGTGTTACATTTGATCACTAAATGAATGTCAGACATTTTTAAAGACCAAGGAGAGGGAGTGGTCACGGGGTATCTCTGGAAAGCCCTGAATGTGCTCCGTACAGGACTTCCAGACTTAAAACTGTGACATGAGACGTCTCAGAGAAATCGCTAAAACATTATGTCCTCTAGAGTGGACACAACTCCATAGCTGTAGTCAGGAGGATATGACCCCTAAATGATGCTTGTGTCAGTCCAGGGAAAGCATTTTGTTTGCGTATTTGTGGTTATGGATGACATAACACTTTGCAGCATTTCCCACAATTGTGGAAAACTTGGAAATATACGGGATTGTGTTTTCCAGGCCTGGAAAAGTCATGGAAACTAATGAAATCCTGAAAGTCATGGAAACTAGAGTGAAAGCTAGTTTTGCAGTTGAGCTCTGCTGTTAAATCTCTTCTGTAATGAAGCTAGTTTCGGCCATGGAATAAAAAACTGAAAATGTAATTGCAACCTTTTAATTTCACAGTTCTGACTTTTTTCTTCTAATTCTGAGAAAAAATGTTAACTTTCTCACAATTGCAAATCTATAACCTCTAACTGCGAGATTTAGCCTTCCAAAAGAAAAGAAAAAAAGTTAGAATCGCAAGATGTAAAATCTGAATTCTGAGAAAAATATCAGTGTTGCGAAAGAAATTACCTTTTTATATTTTATTCTGTGGTGGAAACATGCTTCCATACTTATGGACTAGATGTGGAGTAAAACATTTGCACGCACGGTATTTATGTCCAATTTGTTAGTGAAGCAAACTCTTTTCGTCACTGATCGTTAAAAACACATCAGTGAGCCACTAAGTATTTACTCACTTGAGAGTTTATTAGTTGTGTAACTTAGTTGTCACAGCCATTTACTTTCATTCTCCATTCATTCAGTTTCCCAGCACTGCAAACTCAGTTCACGCTCTGGTCTTCACAGGCGTAATCAGACACGCTAGATGTTTTTAGACGGGGTCAGTGTTTTACTTTGACCTTGTCAGGGTTAAAAGTCCCCAAGGGAACAGCGTTTCTGGGGTTATTTGTCCAAGTAGAAGTTTAACAGCTGAACGCTGAATCCTGAACGGAGAGATTTATGGATCTCCAAGAAGAAGCTCTTTGTCTGTCCTTTGTGACGGAGCTCCAGGCCTGAATCTGAGGGGTTTGAAAGGGTTCAAGTTTAAGACCTTCTAGGAAAATGAGTTTTAAAGTACTACATGCCTTTTAGAAAAGTTCTGTGCCAGTAATATGGGATCAGATGTTAATACACGTTATGCACTTTATACATGTTAGTACTTTATAATCATGTTAACCGATATATTGCGACGGCCAGTATAACAGTCAATATTTGGCATTTTTTAATCATTGCATCAGCTTAACGCATTTTTCTGTTTGGCCGATTGTTTAAAAAAAAGATTAATTTTTCAAATTATTTATTTCTAATTTTGTAAATTATGTAAAATAAATAGAAGTTGCCGATATATATCGGCCAATATTTGGCTTTTTTAATTATCACATTGGCCTTTCTTTCTTTTTTTTTTTTTTCAAAATATTGATTAATTTTTCAAATTATTTATTTCTAATTTTGTAAATTTTATCTAAAATAAACTATA